AAGCATGGCAGGAAGTTGGATGAGAACCACGGTAGCTCCACCATAGAAACACGGGATTCTCCTTTCACTAAGTGGTCACTTGGAAAGTTGGCCTTATTGTAGGAAACGATGAAAGGTTGCAAGAGAAAAAGACGTGTCGATTCTCGGGGATTTTTCAAAAGAAACAAGTCATATTTTCCAGCAATGTCCTCACTAATTGAGTATTGATTGTCACCACTAAGCTTTCTGTTTCTATATGAGCTGTCATAATGGAGTTTTCTATCCTAAAAGTTGACCTTAAAATAATGGTGTTTTAGGAAAATCATTATTTGCTTGGTGAAATAATAAGTAAAGAAACAGAATAATACTAACCCCAAGTAATGCTGTTTGAGTTTTAGTCCTTATTTTACTCATAAGATTCTTTTGAATTTCAAAAAGACTTTAACAAATGTCTGTGCTGTGTAGATACCCAAAGGATTATAAATATTTCTACTGTAAAGACACATGCACATGTATATTTATTACAGCACTATTTACAATAGCAAAGACTGGGAACCAACCCAAATGACCATTAATGATAGACTGGATAAAGAAAATGTGGCAAACATATACCATGGAATACTATGCAGCCACAAAAAAGAATGAGTTCATGTCCTTTGCAGGGACATGGATGAACCTGGAAACCATCATTCTCAGCAAACTAACCCAGGAACAGAACACCAAACACCACATGTTCTTGCTCACAAGTGGGAGTTGAACAATGAGAACACATGGACACAAGGAGAAGAACATTACACACTGGGGCCTGTCAGGCCCCCAGGGGGTTAAGGGAAAGGGGAGGGAGAGCATTAAGACAAATACATAATGCATGTGGAGCTTAAAACCGAGATGATGGGTTGATAGGTGATGGGTTAATAGGTGCAGAAAACCACCATGGCACATGTATACCTATGTAACATACCTGCACATTCTACACATGAATCCCAGAACTTAAAATAATTAAAAAAAAATTCTTAAGAACAACTAAAGTGCAACGATAAGATCAAATTTGTCACTGCTTACATTCGTCAAGAAATTGTAGCAGTTGGACAAACACTTCGGTTAAAGTTACATAGACTATTATTCATTCATTAACTGATCTTTTAGTCATTACTCTCATAGTGTCCCTTAATAGCCTAAATCTCCATTTCTTTTTTAGGTCACGCAGGTAAATCCTTGGGGCCAAAGAAGAACTCCTTTAATTTTCTTGATATATTTCTTTAATCTTAGCTCAGTAGACTTTAGAGTCTTGTTTTTTCCCTCTCATGTTGAATCTCATCTGAAAAATAACAAACATTTAAAAATAAATGTTATTTTACTAAGTCTAAATTCCTGCTTGTAAAATAAATAATAAATTAATAAATTCCTGCTTGTAGCTGCCATGTCGGAAGACTGTCTTATATACCTCAGTATTGACTGATCTTATAGTATCTGAATATTATCTTGCTCATAAATTGCTATTATCTTCTTCTTTATTGGCAAAGATTATTTTTAAAGTACTTTAAATATGTGATCTCTATTTGGAGTTCCAAGTAGACCCCCTAATCCAGCCCTTTGCCAAATGCGTTTATATTACATACAAAACGCCAGATATTTGGTACCCCTCTTTATGTTTTAGCTGCTAATGGTCATGACACCCATTTCTGGATAATAAGGCATAATGATTAGCTCTTAGGGATTTGTTCTTCCCAGATAAAGAGAAGGAGATATTGATATTGAGAGCTCTGCTCCTGCTTTCTCCCTTCCTGTCTTTGGTTATGTGTAGACGTGAAGCTTAGCTACTGTAGCTGTCTTGCAGCTGTGCAGCATTATGCCTGAGGACAGAAGGGAACACACTGAGGATCCTTACTGACGTTGTAGAGCTGCAGGATCCACAATGACGCTAAACTCCGCAGGGATTATGTAGACAGTAAGAAACATCTTTTTTGAAAGCCACCTTTATCTTGGTAATGTTTTTTGGAAGCTCAAAGCATCTTAATTTTGAGGCTGAGCATATTTGAGACTCTATAGGATGGAGGACATGAGGAAGAGATATTGCAGAAAAACAGAATGTTTCTTTAAGCAGAGAGGACAAAAGACAGGGTAATTTTGGTACAGATGTAAAATTTACCTTTTAATATATAAACTTACTTTTTGAAAATATATGATTAAATATATTCTTAAACCAGTTTTCAGGAAGTTTCCATGTTTATAATCCCATCATTTTCCCAGAAATTATTTCATATTATTATTATTATTATTTGAGACGAAGTCTCGCTGTGTTGCCAGGCTGGAGTGTAGTAGTGCAATCTCGGCTCACTGCAAACTCCGCCTCCTGGTTTCAAGCGATTCTCCTGCCTTAGCCTCTGGAGTAGCTGGAATTACACTTGTGTGCCACCATGCCTGGCTAATTTTTGTATTTTTAGTAGAGACAGGGTTTCACCATGTTGGTCAGGCTGGTCTTGGACCTCGTGGTCTGCCTGCCTGAGCCTCCCATAGTGCTGGGATTACAGGCATGAGGCACCGTGCCTGGCCCAAATTATTATTTTATTTCTTATTCTGTCTCGGCATCTATGCCCAGCTTGCAAGGATGGAACTGGGGTGTTTATGTAGAATCTGTAGATGCATCTTTCTCAATGATTAATATATTTCAAGAATGAATTTAAAATAAATGAATCTATGTTTATCCCAGTGCATGTATCAGACTGGGTTCCCTCCATCTCCCCACATCTACTGCCATTCTTCTCTTTCTAGTGTAAGTTCACACATAAACTTACAGAATCTATTTACTTACACGTTATATTTCACTAATGTTTTTAATTCAGTAAAATGATGTAATATTTTCATAGTCTTGTTCAGAATTAACAAAATGTGAAGTATCAATATTCAAAAGAAAATAGACAAGAAAAAGAAAACAGTCATTACTATTTTTGGCATGGATTTTCAGTGCAACAAATATCATGTCCGATTCTTTCTCTGCTTTCTATTTATCACTCCACCTTTTTTGAAATTGCTCCCTGAGGTGTTCTACTTTTCTTTTCGTTATTTATCTTTGCTAATCAAGCTTTAAACGGCTCATGACTTGTGTTAAAGCTAGGGGTTACAGCATGACACAACCAACATTTTGTAAAATGTCACAACATTAGTGAAGTAGAGTCTTCTTGAAATCCATATAGCTAATCCTCCCTTGGATTATAAACATAAATAGTATACAACTTCTTCTAGTTTTCAGAATCAATCAACAGGCATGGTGTGTGTGTGTGTGTGTGTGTGTGTGTGTGTGTGTGTGTGTGTGTGTATACACACGTATACATAGAAAGGGGCAAGTAGGTGAAATTGCCCTGTCAGAATATTTCAGGACTTTTATGAGCTAAAAGTATAAAACTCTATGATTTCTATTGTATTTTTTCAGCTGTTACTTAAATTGATTATAACGTGTGTGTGTGTGTGTGTGTGTGTGTGTGTGTGTGTGTGTGTATTTTGTTATTCTAACCTTAACTATTTTTAAAACAGACTTAGGGATAAACAGAAAATGTGATGACCATTTTTAAAGAGATCTTGCTGTGCGAATTGAGTACTAGAAGAGGAGACAGAATTTCATGCTTTTGTTTAGAAGACTTCATAGTCATTTTAACATGGTGATGAATCAGAAAATGAAATTCCTTTATAGTTATAATCAATTTGAGTAACAGCTGAGAAAGTACAATAGAAATCATACAGTTTTACTTTTATCCCATAAAAGTCATGAAATATCTGACAGGGCAATTTCATCCACTTGCCTCTTCCTATAAATCTTTAAAAATCTGTTTTAATAATAAGCTAATTTTCCTACCGCATAAACCAAATATACTCTCAGTGGATTTGGAATTTAACTCTATCCAGAATTGTATATATTTCTTCCATTTTGGTTGAAGTAAAAATAGAAAATGTAGAAAAAAAGAGTCAATGTTGGTTTTGATTTTGTTTCATCATTCAACATAGATATACCTTAATTATTGACTACAAAACTTAGATATGCATTCCCTGCATTAACACAGACTAAGGAAATAATCCAATACTAAAAAGCATTATTGCCATCTCCAAAATTTTTCCTGCTGAAGCCAGAGACAGGAGAGATAAGGTTAATACGAATACACCATGTTCCATATTACCACTTCCTCAGTTGACTGGGACTTTTGCCTGACGGAACATGGGACAATTATCTTGTCCTCTGTGTTCAGAGATGATGTGCTGACAGGTTATTTCCTGAGCAGTAACAGAGATATGTGACCTGCTATCTTTACCAGGAGAAAGCCTATTTTGTAGTTGACAGCAGCAGTCATAGAGGAAAAAATTTGACATTTGTGGCCTTGTAGCCTTTGGGTCAGCTGCGTCTGCTTTTGATTCCTTCTTCCTGGTATGGTATCTTGACTTCTGTTTTGTCTTGGCTTTATAAACTGACACTGCCTTGTTGCAGGTAATCTCTGAAGGTGTTCCCTTTGTCCCAGCTCCCTACATATGCAGTCACCTACCATGTCCTACAATTACAACCTTTCAATTCTGGTGCCACTTTCCCCATCTTCTTATCAGTGAAATACAGTGAGCCCCAATCTGAATGTAGATAGGATCTCTGCTACTAAGCTTTATTTGCTGGAGAGTTGGTTCTGTTATTGCCCAGAAAGAGATTACCAAGTCAACGATTACGTATTTCTTAATCTAGGCTTAGAATACTTGAGTAGGATTTTGCCTTATAGTACATTAGATAAAAGCAATTTCGTTAACGAATGCTAAAGAAAAGACAAGTCTTAGGTTGATAAGTCTCTATTACAATGATAATAATGTCAATAAATACCTCCATCTTACATTTGAACAGTAATTTTAATTTCCACGGTACTTTCATGTACAATACTGGTATTCCCATAACATGACAGGTGTCACCGAAAGGATGAAGCCCCTCTTGTCTTAAAAGTCTGTGAAGCAGCCGGGCATGGTGGCTTATGCCTGTAACCCCAGCACTTTGGAAGGCTGAGGTGGGCGGATCATGAGGTCAGGAATTGGAGACCAGCCTGGCCAATATGGTGAAACCCTGTCTCTACTAAAATTGCAACCGATAGCTGGGCATGGTAGTGTGCACATGTAGTCCCAGCTACTCAGGAGGCTGAGGCAGGAGAATCGCTTGTACCTGGAAAGAGGAGGTTTTGGTGAGCCAAGATCACGCCGCTACACTCCAGCCTGGGCAACAGAGGGAGACTCCATCTAAAAAAAAATAAGTCTGTCAAGTTATCAACAGAGACACATTTGATTATGACTACCCAGTTCCTTTTTGAAACTATAGGAAAATTAGCATAATATCAAGCATGATTTGGCCGGTTGCCATGGCTCCAACAGTCATCTCTATGCAAATGTTTACCAATCTCTGTCTGTCCTGACTATCTAATAGGTATCTGGACTTGAAGCCTACTTCAAATTCATTGTGAATAGACTCTTACTCACCCACCAAGACTTCCTTTCCTTTTGGCTCCTCTATTACTAATAACAGTTTGCCCACTTTCTTCTAGACATCAGGATTAGTCAATACCTTAGTCATCTTGAATTTCTTCCTTTCTATTACCTCCCTGCATCTAATCAGTAAGAAAATCTTGACGTTTCTATCTTAGTAGCAAATGTTCCAACCTGTTCATTCCTACTGCCAACTTCCTCATTCAGATCTTTATGAACTCTTCTTCTAGCCTACTGTAAAACTTCTTAACTTGTCTTCCTGCTTCTGCTTTACTATTTTATACATGACTTCTATATTCATTATGTAGAGCAATGATTTCCAATCTTTTTAGTATTACATGACCTTTTATGCCAATGAGACTGAACTTAAATATATAAAACAGAGGAAAAAGTGCTGCTGTCTTTGTAGCAGCAATTGAGTGTGGGAACTCACACTACTTTCAGGAGGGCCTCTTCTTACCCCACCTCTTCCCTCTCTACCCACACTTGCATTGGAACACAGTTGAAAACCACTGTTAAAAGATCTTTGCAGACAGTTAATTATGACCAGATAATAAAATCATATTTCCAGCATGCAGCAAGAAAATAGGATTTAGAAAAAGTAAATTTAAATATATCCCCCTGATAGAGATGATTCATTTAAAAATGATGATTAGATAATCATTATTAGATTATATGCAGCTATTCCAGAGATTCTGCTTAACAATAATCAGGCTGTTAGCATGATGGTTATTTGAAGTCAGTCTAATCTCCTAGAAGAGGTCATCATCTCATGAAAGTCTATCAGAAATATGCTTCACTTTTTCTTATCAAGAATGCTGATGGCTGGGCAGGGTGGCTCATGCCTGCAATCTCAGCACTTAGGGAGGCTGAGGTGGGCAGATCACAAGGTCAGGAGTTCAAGACCAGCCTGACCAACATGGTGAAGCCTCATCTCTACTAAAAATAAAAAAAATTAGTTGAGTGTGGTGGTGGGCACCTGCAATCCCAGCTATTTAGGAGGCTGTTGGCAGGAGAATTGCTTGAACCTGAAAGGCAGACGTTGCAGTGAGATGAGATTGTGCCAGTGCACTCCAGCCTGGGTGACAGAATGAGACTCCATCTCAAAAAAAAAAAAAAAAAAAAAAAAAGAATGCTGATTACTCCCCAGAAAAAATATTGAATTACATTGTACAGGAAATTTTAAGGCAGCTCAAGTATCAAATTTACTTTCTCACCACTAGTCATGTTAGAATACTACTGGAAATTTCTAAATGCTGTTAATTATCTACCAAATTAAGAATAGATTCTTTGGCTTAAAGTTCAAACCACAACTTGTTGTAATCTAACTTTTAGCTTTTCTTTCTGTTTTCTACATTGGTAGGTATTACAATCTCAACTCTACTGTTTCTCATTTTCATGTCTCTGAAGCTTTATATTATTCTTCTGTCACAGTTTTGTTATTCTGCTTTGTATTCTACATCTAGTAGGAAACACAGGCAGATGTATAACAGATAATATATTGAAATTACAGTATAAATACATAATTACAATCTACATTTGCAGCCACCAGTAGTTTGTTATGTTCTTGTTTTATCTCCAAAGAGATTGTTAACCTTTTAAAAGCTTTATAGGACAATGCTTCATTTTTAGAAGTATTTTGTGATTCATCTTTTGCTAGCTATGCAGTTCTAGACATTAATACTTAATCTGACTGAACCTTGGTTTTGCGATCATCAAACTATACATATCAATAAGTAAATATCTATTGAAATGATTTTTTCCTGCAGTAAAAGAAAATCACAGTGCATAGAAGGATGGAAGCAGATAGCCTGAAACAATGAGAGCTAGGTCATATTTGTATCTCTAGGCATCTTGAGGATAATAGACATCTAGGCCTGGCAATGAGGTCTTTTGAGGAGAAAGGAGTAGATAGATTTAAGATTATTAGAATTAAAAATAACAAAATTGCTTATATATGCTTTCTTTACGTTTCCAGGCAGCCTCATGATGATTTGGAGAATTCCAAAGGTAGAAATAATAAAATGATTTGTGAGAGGTTTTCATGCCTCAACATAAAAGGTTTTCAGAGCATTCTTGCTGACTCAGTGAACTGATGTTAGCTTTAGGTATTTTGGGTTTTCTCCTAATTAATCCTCTTAATTTCAGAGCTTTGTCCGTCAGTAATATACTAAATGTACTGTATGTGCACTATCGAGGCACAGCCAAGAATTGCAGTGACCAAGCTTTAGTGAATAGGAACAGAAAAGTTTCGAGAAGCAAACTTTTCCATCGAGCGAGACCTACACCAAATGCATAGCAACTGATTCAATGATAACTTAATGATAATTCCTTTGACCTTAATGGTAAAGTTAATAGGTGCATTAATTAAAAGACAATCATTATATGTTTTCATTGCAAAACTGGGTGAATTATGATGTACTTTCTCAGTCTAACAATACTTAGAAGTTAGGTCATGAGTTAATAGAACTTGTGCTACATAGACATATTCACTCAATGCATAATTACTGAGCTACTACTATGTGCCGGAAACATATTGGAGAGGCTGAATCAGCAGGACATAGTGATTGATTGATTGATTGAACATGAAGAGTGGAAGATATCTGAGGAGAGAGAAGAGTAAATTTGGTGGGAGAAACTGATGATAACAAATGTATGTGTTTACACATAAATTATATATATGTGTATGTATATATATGAATATATGTGTATATATGAGTGTATGTGTATGTATGTATATGTCTGTGTGTATGCCAAATTTGATGTGTGTATACATGTGTGTATGTGTATATATATGTGTATGTGTTCCACATCAAAGGATATATCGAGATATATATATATAGTAATATATTGAGGTATATCATATGAGTTATACTGCATATGTATATACACAAATGTGTGCTTGTATACCAGATTTGATACACACACACACACACACACACACGCATACACATATATATATTTTATGTGTTGAAACATACAATTTGGTGTATATATATGCCAAATATACACACACATACATACACACACATATACAGACACATACATATTAATATATACATACACATATATAATTTATGCACGTGTATCTTCTAAGCTTCTTCCCTTTGTAGAACATCAAATAGGGTGAAAAATAATAATAACTGTTAAAATAAAATTCTTTCTTTAGTACGGTGTGGAAGATCACAGAGTAGACTAACCCAGTCTAACTGATCGAGAACTGTATCACCTTCTCTCTTCTCTGTTGTCACTGGACACTTGAACAAATTCATGGTTCTTTTAGCAACAATGTTGGTAATGAGTATGGGGGGTCAATCAATTATATCTGCTAGATGTGATTATCAAAAGATAATCCCTAACTAGTAGTATTCACGTCAGTTGAAAACTTGTTAAAATTCTGCAGCACAGGTTCTTCTGCAGCACTTTAGACCTATTGAACCAGGAACTCCATGGGTGGGCCCCAGCCATTTCTGTTTTAATGGGCCTTTCTGGTCATTCTGATGCATGGTAAAGTTTGAAAACCACTGTGTTATAATAAAGTTTACTGAGGAAGAAATTTACTATTCGCTCAGGACTACAGCATTGCAGAACTTCAGAGAAAACACAATGCATATAAAATGAAATGATAAAATGCAATCAGGGAAGTGACTCCCAATCAGGAAGTTTGATGTAGAGCCTTGACATATCTCTTAGTTCTTTTGTCTGATAACCCAGAATGACCATCCTTCAAGAAGTAACTCACTGTTGACCTCAATTTCAAATAATTTGTGACTCAATTCTGTCAAAAGCCTTGTTTAGATCAATCATTCATTTATGCCTTAACTTTCTCTCTAGAATTGCAATCAAGTGCTATTTCTGTATGTTAAATCAGGGAGGTGCAAATCAACTCTAGAACTTTAACTCTCTGCAGAAGGTAATCTGATACTGTAAAAAAGAAATAGTCTTATGAAGAATGCTTTTGTATTTTATTAACATCATTTGTAAAGACTATTGTTCATTTTTTAACTTAATAACCAATAACATAAATACATACATGAAACATTCATTCCTCTTAGCATACAGCATTGAGGAGGAAAATTCTTTTCAAGTATATCCTGATGAGAATAGAAATTTTCATTTTCATTTGAAAATTTCAAAGTGTTCAGGTTCCTTTTATTAGATAATATGAACCATATAACCCATTGCTTCATTTCTGCCTGGACCTCCAACAATCAATTTTATACTTAATTGCTGTACCTTAACTCCAGGATGTTTAATGTAATTACACCTCTGCTCCCTAACTTTGATTACATGGCTCCTGTTGGCCTTGTTATAAAGCTTATTGCACACTTGACTCTTATTTTTGAAGCTGCTTTTAATTCATTTTTGGGGGGAGATATAGAAGAGTTATAAAAATAAATCTCTACTTCTCTTTATTCACGTTCACATCATAATTCACATTCACATTCATATTATCTATGTATCCATCCACCCATCTTTTTCTCCAACTATCCTTCTTTCCTTTTATCTACCCACCTGGCCATCCAGCCATCTACCCATCTTCCCATTCATCCATTTTTATTCTATTCAAATGAATTTCTGCTTGTAACCAAATATAGCCAGAGAAAATAAATACAATGCATGTATGATTGTGAAGAAACTTATGGAATCAGAGAGTAACTATGCTGGAACAGAAGAAATAGACCAGCTTTTTCATTTTACAGAAGATAATTGCTTTTTTTCTGACCTTTCATAATCATAGTTTACATAGATTTAGAAAGTTTTTGGGTGTCTATAACTACTTTAAACATGTTTAGCCTAGTTATAAAACTTCATTTTCTTTTATAGGCTTGTTTAAAATAGTGTCTGTAAACCGACATGTAGAAATTCAGCTTTAAAAAGAAAAAGACATTAGGAGGTAAATATTTATGATAGAGGTTACTTCAGTTGCCTTAAATAGTAAGCTCCCCTACTGCATTTAAAACAGGAGTTTCTTCATTGTTCAACAAATATTATTAAAAGTAATAATTCACTTCACCAAACTCTCACAGTCAAAAAGTTTACAATCAATTTCTATTCAGATTTTTAGAAAAATATCTGTTGCATGAGTTAAGCATACTTATATGTTTAAGCCATATTAATTTGGGCTCCCTAAAGTTAAGATATTGGATATAATAGTAGGAGAATTTGAAATAAATGAATATCAGATGCAAGAAAAATAAACATATTCTTTAATTTTTTTTTTTCTTTGAGACTGAGTCTTGCTCTTATCACCCAGGATGAAGTGCAATGTCCAGTCATGGCTCACAGCAACCTCTGCCTCCTGGGTTCAAGCAATTCTCCTGTCTCAGCCTCCCAAGTAACTGAAATTATAGGTGCCAGCCACCATGACCAGCTAATTTTCCTATTTTTAATAGAGACAGTTTCACTATGTTGACCAGGCTGGTCTTGAACTCTTGACTTTAGGTGAACTGCATACCTCGGCCTCCCAAAGTACTGGCATTACAGGCAAGAGCCACCATGGCGGGCCTGTTCTTAAAAAAAAAAAAAAAGTGGAAAAAAACACTTTAAACTTCATATGGAAGCAAAAGAGAACCTGCATAACCAAGATCATCCTAAGCAAAACGAACAAAGCTGGAGGCATCATACTACCTGACTTCAAAGTATACTACAAGGCTGCTGTAATCAAAAGAGCATGGTACTGGTACCAAAAGAGAGATATAGACCAATGGAACAGAACAGAGGCCTCAGGAGCAAAACTACCTACCTACAACCATCTGATCTTCAACAAACCTGACAAAAACAAGCAATGGAGAAAGGATTCTCTGTTTAATAAATGGTGTTGGGAAAACTGGCTAGCCATCTGCAGAAAGCTGAAACTAGACCCTTTTCTGACACCTTACACTAAAATTAACTCCAGATGGATTAAAGATTTAAACATAAGACCTAACACGATAAAAACCCCAGAAGAAAACCTAGGCCATTCAGGACAT